CTAGCGATGGCCTCCAACCTAATAGCAATAGGCTCCAACCTACTAGCGATGGCCTCCAGCCTAATAGCAATGGCCTCCAACCTAGTAGCAATGGCCTCCAACCTAATTGCAAGGGCCTCCAACCTACTAGCGATGGCCTCCAACCTACTTTGAGAGAGAGAGAGAGAGAAAGAGCTCGAGGCCGTGTTTCTTGGCTCCACAAGGTCTCGTGGTCCACCACAGCAAGGGTGATGAGCCCTTATCAGTGAAGGAAAGGGTTCAGGACGGACCGATCGGATGGAAGAGGATCCTGAATTCGGCAGACTGGGCAGACAAAGTAGACTCAGAATGACCCATGAAATCTGCAGGCGTTCTTACAGAATCGTCTTCCTGAACTTGCTGCTCATGTGGATGCACATGTAGCCAATCTCACTGAAGAATTGCGGAAGGAGGCAAGTCAGATGATTCCTCCACATTGACCGTTGACCCGTTACGCGTTGGAACGGAAATCGGTCTCCGTTGGCAGGTGGATGAAGAAGTCGCTGAACGATTTCTCAGGCTCTCATCGCTTTGCAATCCCGTCCGAACTTCACACTTGCTTAGTTTGCTTGTTTTGCATGGAACCACCTACAGTGCATGCTAGGACCGCGTCAAATCGTCGTGTGTTTGACGGACAAGCCAACTTCCTGCGCTGGAAGAATGTTCGCCACAAGGCATGCCAGGAAGCTAATAAGCTAGGAAGCATTTCATTTTGCCATTGCTTCCGTTAGAACCGTGGTCAGGCACTACAAAAGAGATTGGATGCCAACATGCACAAGTGGATTCTCGAGGCACTTGAAGGGGCCTTCAGGGTGTGTTTGGGGCACAACCCAGGGGTTACAGTTGGAACACATGAGACATGAGCAAAAGCTCCAAGACCAGCTTAGCAGACTCCCTGCTTTCTCTCCTTGTGATGCACAACGAAGGTCGCAGGCATTTCTTTTCTTGATATGTTTTCATGACGGTTTGAAAGCCATCGAAGCCAGGGCATCGAGGGATGGGACCAGAGAGCCATGGATGCAAGACCCAAAGAAAGCAGCGTGCCATCCTCGGATCACGCAGACATAGCAGCTATGGTCCACATGGAAGCAGACTATTTTCTTTGTTCTTTGCTCTATTTGTTCCCAGGAAGCAGACTTGGTTTTTGAGTACCTTACGTCTTCTTCTCAGAGCATCAACAATTTGTTGGTGGATTGGACATGACACAATTCAGGAAGCGTGCAGTCCATGGTGAAGGGAAGCTGCCTTCCCAAATACCTGCTACTTTACTGCAAGGGCTGCACTTGCACAGATTTCTTTTTTATTCTATCCTGGCGGGTGCATTTCTTTGCTGAGAACATGTGGAGAATTTGCACTGTTTGTGAAACCTGCACTGTCCAAGGTGATCAGGAAAATGAGGTACTCCTACAGCATGCCATGTGCCAAGACATGCTCAGTAGCATCACTCTTATACTGGCTTTGAAGCCGTTGGACACTTCAGATGGAGCTGCCTTTGAGGCCTCGCATGTGGAAAGACAAGTTCATTTCGCGCTGAGTTTGGATTAAACCATAATCAGAGAGAGGATGTTGCATCTTCTTTTTGGTTTCACTCGGACCCTCGCCGTTGTGAGGGATTTTTGGCCCCCAGATGGCCACATAGAGCACTTCGAAGAAGCGCAGAAATGTAGAGGGAAAGGGTGTAAGTTCTGTGGCAGACTGAACATGGAAGCACTCGAAGCTCATGCCAAAGCACATTTGCAAACATCAAAGGCCTTCCGACGCTTTACTTGGAATTTGTGACCTCCTGAAAGATATTTTGGCTGTCCAGGAAATACTCAAAAGTCCCATGTCCTATATAACATTTAGGAGTACATGCAAATTTGGCTAACCTCTTACGGCTTTTGCAGAACGTACAGTAGCTCTCTTCATCTCTCTTCCGTTTTTGCAGCTGGCGGAGCCCTTGCCATGTACAGTACTTTGGGCCTGCTGGTGCTTACATGTGGTCCGGTGAGCTCTGCAAGATTCTCACTACTGTAGGTGCTGCTAGCTCTTATGTGTCGAATCCTAAGAGAACTGCCAGGTCTTGGTTGCCTTCATCGTGGCATGTATTCTTCTTCGATTTGCGGAGAAGGAGTGATGGAACATCCATGAACCCGAAAGACCGTTTTTGTCATCGGACCTCTTTGGAGACCCATCGCTCTTAGGTTGGAGGCCATTGCTACCATTATAGGTTAGAGGGCAGAGCGGCCTTTGAAAAGGAGTTGTCATCGGACCTCTTTGGTGCTCAAGTCAGTCCACGGAGAAGTCAGTCGGTTTTCGCTCCCAGGATGCGAGCTGGTGCGCCTGGCACGGTTTGTAGCTGCTTACTTGTAAGTCAGTTCACGAAGAAGCTCATTGAAGGCTGTCATTTCTCACTTGTGTGGCCAGTCTCCCAGTTTTCTTGCGGGGAGTCGCAATTCTCAAACAGCTGATTCTTTCATTTTTTGCCCATTTCAATAGCTGCCGGTCAGGCTGGAGTGGCCATTGCTGTCAGTGTGGTGGCGGTGATGCCCTACGATGTTTGGCAGGCTGCTATTTGTATATATTCGAAAACAACAGATTGTATACACATACGGACCAACCTACTATGCAACAACTTCCCTTGGGCCCGTTGGGTGGTGGTCTGACATCGTTTGACACAAAGGGGTAGAAGTAGTGTTCAAAGGTGTGACTGCAATGCATTCTGCAGACACCTTCCTTTGAGACAGGCCCTTTCCGCGAAGGATCACCATAGCCACTCGGGTGGCTCATTGCTCCGAAACACCTGGGCGACCTGGCGCAGCAAGCTCATCAAGCTTTCATTCATGGTTCATTTGGTTCACTCTTGGTTCAGAATTGGGTCTCTCGTTTTAGTCTTTCTTGCACTTTCCAAGGCTGCGACTTACTGGACGACTGCATTGCTTAGCTACCTCCTGTGTCCCATCCTCATGGAGTTTGAGGCCTCCGGAAACTTCACTGTGGCTGCGCGCTTAAGAACCTCTTTGCGGCGCAATGCTGTCTTCTACGGTGTCTATGCACTCATCATGGTGCTCCTGCTCATCATCCTGGTTGCCCGCGGCGAGGAGGGCAAACGTGCACACCGGAGCACTGATGCCTCATCTCCTTTCATTGTCATCTTCACCTATATAGTTACCCATCTCACCTTCCATCACGCCATCTCAATCCATAAATCAGCACTTTTGTGATCCCAAGGAGCATCTTGTTTCGGCCAGGTGCATGGAGACCTTCAAAGCTGGTGTATTGCTGCATCCAACGCTTGGGGTCTTTTTGTTCTCACTGTGCTCATGGGCTTTGGCTTAGTTGCGGTCCCACGGCACTTTTGGAGCTTATCCAACCCTGGCCTCCTTCTTCAAGATTTGTACAGACCCAAGGCAGCAAGAGAACCTTCGAGACAGTTGCACAGCTCATGAAGCAACAGAGGGCAGAGAGGAATTTTGACTGCTGGACAGTATCTGGATAGGTGTGTAAGCAAGGGAGTTCAAGGGATGGTTCTCACTTCTAAATGACCCATTCTCTGCTGATGCCTCTCATCTCCAAAAGATTGTCCTGGAGACAGGGTCTCGCTGGAGACATGTATTTGACCAGTCTCGACAGAATGTGTTTCTTGTCTCCAAGAGCTTCCAGCGGCCTTCTTTGTACTAGGGGGCAGTGACGTCGTCTTCGCGCTGGGCTCCTAGGGGGTAGTTCTGAAAGCTTGCCGGGCACTGCAAGGATGCCCAATTGGAATTGGATGCCATAGGATCTGCTCGCATTACTATTGATATCTCCCACCATAAGATTTCGCCCTGCTCAACTCTGAATGCAAGGCACGCTACCTTATGTTTCCCTTCATGTCCCACCTTGACTACGCCTGTAACCCTGCTTGCCAGAATGTTCCCCTACTTGCCAAACTGCGAAAGGAATAAGGGCATAGCGATGCCCTTTGCTCCTAGTAGCGTCCTTTGCTCCTAGTAGTAAGGCCAGGAGCCCCTAGTAGCGTCCTTGCTCCTAGTAGCGATGCCAGGAGCCCCTAGTAGCATAAGGGCTATGCTGCAGTGATCGATGTTAGCTCCGAAGGCACTGCCTTCGTCAGCAATCATGAACGAGCAAGCAGCTCCAAGGTTGACACGTCGGCGTTTGTGAACCGGGAGAATCAATAAACAATGCGGCGATGATAACATCAAAAGAACAAACATGTGGTTTGATGTGCTGCAATGTGGTTGTTGCTTATTTGATGTTTCAGTGCTTTTTTGGGATCTGGCCGCTTTGAGCAGTTGATGAGTCCTAAGGAAATGCCGTGGTGAAGGACGAAACTCGACTCAGTCGCCTCTTCGAGCTTCAAGATGCTGTTGCTCAAGCCAGAGCCGAGCTGGCGGCCCATGTGCAGCTGGAAGATGAGGGCCCCACTGCGGCGACACAACGTCGGGCCTTTGCGACAGTTTCACAGATGACGGATCGATGTGAATGCCTTCACATGGAGCTCAGCGGCGCACGAATGCCAGTCAGAGATAAAGGCATTGGAGGTGCCGAGTGTCAAGAATGTGCAGCTGTCAATAATACAGTTCTTTAAACATACGTTTGATATTGTTTGATCACGATTTTGGAATGGCTTCAGCCTGTGCAATGTGGACAGGCATCTCCCAGTCACCATCCGCAACGCTTGCCTTACATCCACCGTGCCTGCCTGAGAGTACTTGCAAGTTTGGATTTGCTGATGAGCAGGACACATCGCAAGGAGTTCTTATTAGATTTTATTCGACTGTTAAAGGATTTGCAATCGTACATCCAAGGCCATCGCTTGCCAGATTTGCTGAAGTTCACCGAACCTTGAAAGCTGCAGCTTTGGAGGCCCGTTGAATTCCAGGGTGACATCCAGCTTGCATTGTTACGAGAGGCAAGACGCGCATCTTGCTGCTTCGACAGCCACATACAGCGCTGCATTTTTTTCGAGGACACATGCACCTTTTCTTTGGATTGTGGCTGCAAGCCTGACACAGGTCCTTCAGCAGTTCGCATCAGCTTGTGGCAGGATCTAGAGCAAGGAGATCATCGGGCTGCAGTCAGCATGCTTGGAGTGCATTTTGCTCAGGAAGCCATTGACGTCCATTTGCAACCTCACCGCTTACAGTAGATTAGATTGAAATGCCACTGTTTGCCAGCTCCAATTTTCACTCAGTCGTCGCGCGACGATGCCCAGCCAATTCCGCTTTTTTGCGCGATGCCCAGAGCAAGCAAGAGTGAGGGCTCCACCAAGCAAGCCTTTGCTGGAGTGAGGGCTCCAACAATCTGCGTCAAAGTCTTCTGAGCTTCTGGCTTCGACATATCCGAGTAAGTCTGGCAAGATTTTTGCATTCACTAGGCCAATGCGTGTGACTTGGAACGAAAGTCCAGTCACCTTTTTTGGTTGCTTCCACCAGCCTAGCTGCACGTTGTTGTTTTGGTGGCAGGCACGTGCTTTGCTTGGTCTTGGTCACGCCACCTGCCAAAAATAAGTTCTTTGTTTCGGGACATGTCACATCGCAGTGCTTTAGTCACGCTCACATAGACTCAGACTCTAGCCGTTTGCTTGAAGGCCTCCTGCATCCTCAGTGCCATAGCCTGGTGCCCAATATCCAATGTCTCACCCAGGTACACGAAGATCAACCAACTTATGTGACTCGTGACTCTTGTGACTCTGGTGCTTAGGTTGTGCTGGGGCAACTCACTCTATTTGCAGATGGCTGGCATCTTTCGTTGTGCATTCGACACATTTTGGCTGTTTTTGTCAGATGGAGCTTGAGACAGATCACTCCCACTTGCCAGGCTTTCCTTGTTCTTCCGGCAAGACTATGGGCCTTGCTTGACTCAGGCGCAGAACTGATTGACATGGAAGTTCCTTCCAAACTCTTTCCACACTGGATGTCGAGGCGTTTTGCTTAGTGCCTTTGGCCTATATGGCCTACACTGCCTACTTTAGTCCCTTGGCAAGGTTTCTTAATTTGGTGCAAGGAATCAACGGGATCGGATCGTTTTGCGAAGGTATTTTTCGCTTGAAGATTTCTGGATGGTACGGCTGACCCCCTAGCCTACGTGCCATTTCCCATTTCACAGAGTGGGCGTAAATTTGAGCTGTGAGGTTTGTGTGCAACCCCCCGAGGTTTGTATGGAAACCACAGCACGGACACGGGCAGCTTACTTTGGTGTGAATCTTATGTGTGTCAATTCGAAGCGGCAAACATTTTTGCCACTCTCTAGGAAGTTTGTGTATGTGCTTGCTTCTTGAAATCTTTTGCCTGCGTGCAGATGTGGTGGGTTTCTTGATTTGGCTCAAGACGCAGACTGAGAGCGGCTTGTCTGACCCATTATCAGACAGCCTTGCCCTTGGCGCCATTGGTGATATCGTGGATGCTTCTTGGATGGACTGGTTTCTTTCAAAGGAATAGCCAGTAGGACTTGCATCAATTGAGATGTGATGTCCCCTTGTAAGAGACTTGTCAATCATGTTTTTGAGAACGACACACAGAGTCCTGGTGGCATGGAGTTCATATTCTTTAATGTTTTTTTTTTTTTTTTAATGTTCTTTTTTCACCGTTTGTGGTGTGCTAGCTTTTGGTGGCTTGGGCTTTTGGCTTTTGGCTTTTGATGGCTTTTGTGATCAGATGTAGCACCAGTTACATGTCATGTGCATAGTTGTGTAGAGATGTAT